CTCGTATCCGGATTCATCCGAAGTTTAACATTGGACAACAGGAGTCACTTCAAGGTGTTAAGACAGCACACTACCCCCAAGGGCAAAAATGGCCAAGGGGCTTTTTTTGTGTTGAGTCAATTCATTGAGGGGAGTTAACTACCAGTAGGGTCCCGATTAGAACGTCAGACAGCAGTTGCTTCAAGTTGGACCAACGAACAAGCGGGGATACGGAGGGAGCGGGAATATGGGGGATTTCCTTGGCGGCATTCCCCATATCAAACTTACCTGGCACCCCGTATGTTTTTTGTTTTTTCTTGTTCCGGTCAAACTCCCGTATTTGGCCGTATTTGCCCATATGGCCATGATTTTTCGGTCATTTGCGTAAATCACCCGTATGAAACCCATATGTGTTCGACATGTTGTTGAAAAAAAACGTAAAAAACATCCGTATGGCCATGATTTTCGGTCAAAGGCATATGACCAAAAAAACGGCCATATGGGGTCCCAGGTAGTCAAGGTGCATGGGCGAATCCTTCCCCCTGAATCCCTGCTAGTTGGTTTCCCTGATCAAGGCTGAAGTCCCCTGGAAACAAGAATAAATAATCCCCTAGTAATACATTCCCTTTAAAACCAACAGGAGAAAAACAAATAGAAAAAAATCAAGGTGCTAAGACAGCACGCAGCTGGCTCTGTCCTCGGTGGCCGGCACCAGGGGCTGCCGGAAGTGGGCGCCGTCCTCCCGGAACCGCCGCAGGCGCAGCTCGGAGTCTTCGCGGACGCTCTGCACGGTGAGGGGGTTCTCGCGCAGGTACCTAACGGCCAGACGTGGCCAACGGGGCAAAAAGAAATCGGCGGAGAAAATGCGCGATGGTGGTTCATCCATGTCTTAACTGGTGGATCCTACCAAAAAAGAGAGATAATTTAAAAATCGGTGGAGAAAATGCACGCCACGCAGCTGATTGGTGTTCATAGTGGTTCGTCCATGCCAACTGGAAAATCCTACACATCCGGAGTATGGCTGGTTTGATTGCGAACCCTTCTCCACCCTTTGGATGGCATTCTCATGCTTTCCGTGGGTGTATCTTTGCTAAGGTGCCCTTGCAGTGGGTGTGTTCCATCGGAAAACCCAAACGAAAGCACCCATTGTGGGGCCCACCATTTTGAGGCAACCTAAGTAAGTTGTATGGGAGTGTCCTATTTTGCGTTGTTTGCGGGTTTAAAAGGAAAATCAGAAGGAAAAGCACCATTGATTTGTTTTGCCGTTTTTCCCTTTTTTTTGGGGGGGGGCCTAAAAAAAGACGAGCCTCCCATATGAGAACCGCGCGCAATGGCTTTGGATTGGTCTGGCTGGTCTCTCGGGCTGCATTCCAACAAACCTACCCCTAGGGACTTGCCCAAAGCCAGCCTTCATTGACGAAACATGGACCGACCGTTTAAAACCGAAAGATAAAACGGATGGCTTTGGCAAGATCACATACTGGCTCTCGGCAAGACACAAACATACCAAGCAATTCAGAATTCACCGTAGTTTTAGGAGTTCAAACACAACTACCTAGCACATCACCGCCCTAGTTGTAGGATATGTCTGTTTTTGTTCCAAGTGTTGTAGGATTTCAAACGTAAATAGTTATCTAGCAAATCACCAGCCGAGTTTTTTGATATTTCATATCTTTGCCCCAAGCCAAAGGAAGCCATCGGCGATCGGCTTTTCGTCTTTCTTTTCCGAGGCACTGCTGGAGTTGCGCCAGGGCCTGCTGCGTGTTGGCGGCAGCCTGGCTGACTAAAACCGAGGAACTCGCGGAGCTGCGTGGGGCCCCCCCCAGCGAAAAACGAGGCTTAAGATGACATCCCCACCAAAAGACAGATGACATCCCCCCAAGGCTTAAGATGACATCCCCCCAAAAAAAGATTCCGCAACAAAACAAAGGCTTCCTGAAAGGGCATCATCTTCCAAAAACCCGTCTTCAGTCTAAAGCGCCATCTTTTTGGGCCGCTGGGCTCCCCTCGCACCGGTTCTGCCTGCGCCTTCATCTGGTCCTCTGAGATGAGAGGGTGCAGGTCCTCACAAGGCACTTTGGGCCAAGTGATGTCCACCCACCGAGCGAGGGCAAAACGGCATATAGCCGTTCAAAAGTGGTTACGAGAACAAAACCTGGTGGTACTGGCTTGGGGGGGGTAGTGCAAACCATCTTAGATGGGCTCACTGTCAGGAGCTGTCCAAGCAAAACGAAACGTGGGTGCTCGACACCCTCTTTTCAATGCGAAGCAAAGAGGTTGAAAGCCAAACTCAAAAGTCGTGCTTTGAACTCAGTCTGTATCAGCATGTTCTACCTCTACAAGAATTGCCCTTTGAAGCAACAATCAAGCCACACAGTCACACAGGGTACCTCCAACGAGAGAAGTGGACCGGCCATCTTATGATTTGTTTCTCCCAACTCCGACCGGATTCCAAGCAACATCCAGGGAGACTAACCTTGAACCCATCAGGTCCCTGGTGTAGGACCCCAAAGATTCCATGTGGAGAGTACAAAACATTCCTCGGTTGCGAAATCTGCGAAGCCCTGCTAAAAGTTTTTAGCTTTTAGTGGTTGAATACGGAAAACCCATTCGTTGGCAAAAAGTTAAAGTCCTAACTTCCAAGCAACATGCACCAAAGATTTGTTTGGGGGGTTGCGTTGCTGTGGTGGGTTGGGTAACCGAGGTGGTGGTTGCTTGATACCTGCTATGGTCAGTCACAGGGTGACTTGGATCGCCTGAACCCTTTGACCCACTACCTGCAAGTCCCAGCCGAAATTTCGTCATCGGGAAGGCTGCTTGGAAGTGATGTGATTTCCAGTCCTCACACTTTGAGATCGCAATTGCAAGTCAACCTACCACATTTGGATAAAAATGATTAAAACAAAACACAATAATCATACTTTGCACTTGCTATGGAGAACAGCGTATTTCTATGGGCAAGTGTTTAAACTGTGTTGTTTGCCACGCGCAGCACACACTTCGAATCTTTGGTCGATTGGCTGCGGTTCTGTCCTGTGGCTGGAGCTCGGCTTGCTTCCAGAGCTGCCAGGTGTTGAGCCAATGCCCCAGGTGGTCCTTCAGCAGAATCCCCGCCTGAGTTCGGAAGGAAGCGGGGCCCCAAAAGTGGCCGCTATGTTTATTCCCCCCCCACCAGCTTGCCTCCTTTTGGTTAGCTTGGTGGTTTGGTGGCTTGGTGGGTGGTTTTGCTTTTACCCTCTACAAGCGCCAGGGGTTCAAGTCTCCAAACCACCAATCCAAGCCACCAACAAGGGGTTCCCCAACCCACCCACCCCCCTCCCCCCGCCACCCAAAAAAAAGACCATTGCTGGCTTGAGTCCGTGCGAGCCATTCCGCACGAACTCTGCATGCGAGTTACCCCTCAACTGTGAAGGCTGGTCCGTGTGCCTTTCAAAGAAACCTGTCAGCTTCCATCGCTCAAGGCTCCCTGCATGTCCCCTGCGAACATCATCCCAATTCAACAAAACTCACTTCAAATCGGCTCGCACAAGGCTTAAACAAAAACACAAACAAGGACATGTGGGTGTTTCTCGGCCTTCCTCCCGCTCTCAAAAAAGCCATCGGTTGTTTCCTTTTTGGGTTTCCGTTGAAGACACATCCAAAGACCATTTTGAGAACCCGCCACAAAGGAAACCCTATAGGCGGCCAGTTCTCTCTCATTCTGTCGGTTGCTTGCAGCAACCTGATGTGGTCAGCTGGACGTTTGAGGGTTTTCCTAGGCCTTCGGGTTTGCACGTCCTGAGCCTGATCGAAAAAGACAAAGCCAAACATTCGGCAGTTTGGTTGGCAGTGCCATCTTGGTTCCCGAAGTGTTGCGTCAGCACGTTGTTCGGGGAACAGCCACTTCATAAACGCGGGACAAATGCTTCAAACATATTAAATACAAGTGCCCAATGATCTGACCTAAAAAGACTTTTGTTACAAAAGCATGCTGGTCTTCAGTGGAAGGCAGAACACAACCACAGAGACACCAACACTAGAAGTTCCGCATCTGCATGCATCAGCAAAAGTAAGCGTTCAGCTGCATCTGGATAATCTAATTTGGCAGAAAGTAGTGTTTATATGTATTGTGTATATCTAGATACATAATATGGCCATGGGTCAAAATCCCGTACCCCCAGTGAACATCCCAATCCCAACTAAAATAGACCAAAATGGGTGGTGCACCTACCCCAAAATGACCATTGCTTTTGACCCACAGCAATATGTGTATCAATTAAACAAATAGAGTGGCTATGACAGGCTTTTCCAAAACCCTGGCATGCACCTGGGCATCCTAAACCATGGAACCTCGCTGCATAGCTCCGGGCGAGTTGCTGCTTTAAGACGGGACACCTTGGTTGACGTTGGAAGGGGAGCAAACAAATATGTTTTTGCAGTTAAGTGGTTGGATTTCAACCACTAAACCACAATAAGCAAACAAGTAAAATGTTTCCCAACGACAACCACGACATGAGGGAAGCCCCTCCGGTAAAGGACCTTCATGGGTAAGCTCGAATTAATTCTGAGATGGGAAAAATTGCATCTCACCTTCATTCACGAGGCATCAAGGCACAAACTCTGGAATATAAACGAAGACACCAAAGCGTTAGTTTACAGGTTCCCACGAAACGAGTGGAGTTGCAATGCCCCTGAACCGCTGATTTAATGAACAGGTGCCAAACCAGGCTGTGCCAGAAACACCTGGGGGGCTCAGCAACCCAAGCCAACCAACAAGCCAAAGCAGCCAAACCAAACCAAAGCAACCGACCAACCACCGACCTCCTCCATCCCAGCACTCCATAATTTTGTTCAAGCGGCCGTCATCAGCAAGGAGCATATATCGGAGTGAGTGCTACACAGCAGCAGGGCAACTCCCAACGACCTTAGCCGTCAGGAAGAAAGGGAGCCTCGAATCCGTGTCCCACCTGAGTACAATATAATTTCTCCCTGCGAATGAACATAGGAGCGTAGAAATCACAAACACATCGTATTTGAAGGAATAGCTGGCAAATACCTCAAAAGCCAAACTTAAGGCGCAAGGAGAACCTCGGCCCCGTTGAATCCCCAGTCTGTCATGGGTCAAGGAACTTGGGTTTGCCAGCGAGTGGGAAACTCCACACACGTGGAGATGTTCTCTTCGGTTTGCCAGAATTTTGCTTGGTTGCTGTTGACCCCCCTGCAAAAAGTTTAACTTTTTGGGAGTTTAGTGGAAAACACCTTTATTTCCCAAAAAGTTAAAGTCTAAAGATCCGTAACCCAAAAAGTTAAAGTCAAGTTTGTTCGTCCCCCAACAAGTAAGTAGCCTCAAGCACAGCCCCTTGAGGTCTCCAAGCTGTTGAAACAAATGGCATTCCGTGAGATCCTGGGTCAAGAAACCGCTACCAAAAATTGGGGCAGGGAAGGTCACAAGTGAAACTATTGAATTTCACTTCAGTCCAAAATGAGAATACCAAACGTCGAGCAAATCAAATCTTGGGCACATTACGATGGTAGCCGAGTGCTCTTGATTTCAATGGCTACACTCCCTCCGACAGTCTTCCAAACGGGTCCTAGGAGCTTCCATGTCAGTGTAAAGGAGGGTACAGACGCAAAATCCAGGGGAATTTCCCGATGACTGTGAGCAAATGTACAGCTCGATTTGGCACTGGCAGTCTCTCACTTTGGGACCTGCTAACCACGCTGGGGACAAGAGTTGGCGAACGTGGCATGGCTATCTACTTGCTGCAGGTTGAACATCCAGGTTGCTCTGAGTTTCCTTAGTTTCTGCAATTTCCCACCGCATCGGGGCTTATAATCACGGGTATAACAGGGGTTAAATGGACAAAACTTCAGGCCAAGCTCAGCCGACGGCTTGAGGGTCTGCCCTTGTGAAACCTGCCAGGGATTCCTCAGTAGGGTACCCTTTGTGGGTCTAAAGGGAACAACCACCATTTCAAGCGTCCCCCTTAGTTTGACACATACCTATCCTCCTTCCAACAAACGCGGATGCTGGCAGGAGGTTGTGGAAAACAACATTTCTTTTGCGGGAGCTTCCCTGTCCATTGCCATGTTGGACAACGCGTATGCGTTCCGCTTGCTTTAACTTTGAGTCACCTGTGAAATGCAAAACGAACACGTCTCCCAACAATCCTGCTTATCTACGTGTCATTTGGGGGTGTCCAAGTAACTAGAGCTTTCATTTCCATTTTCACAAACAAGAGGATCCGACTTCGTGAGTTCCAAAGCGACCACGGCTTACGTTTCAAGCCTGCGGTTGGTTTGTGCGCTCGGGGCTGAGGGGCCAAATGGCCCAGCCCAGCACACGCTGCGCGATGGGCGTGGACGGAAGGAGGTCCACCCGCCTTCCGTCCGAGCCGATGAGGAAGTCCACCTCCCCCTCTGGCTCCGGCAGGGACGCAAAGTACCTCCAAAACCGCGTCGCCCACCTTTCCAACAGAATTCTATGTCAAAAACCGGATACATGTCTTGCGGCGGTTGACCTAGGCACACCCCCTGCGGGCAAAAGAACAAGCGCCACTGGAGGGTTGGGTTCCTGTTCAAACTGCACCTCAAATATAACTCTACATACACAAAAATAAGTTGTCAAAAACGATCCTCCATTTACCATGTCATTCCGCTGCGGAGTAAACATGTCTAGAGTCTAGGAAAGGTTATATCATATATATATATATCTATATATCGGTGCCGGGCCGGAAAGACGAGCCCGCACCATCCATCATTGGCCCAGTATGGCAGAAAGAGCTGCCAGGGCAGCGCTCATCCATCCTTTAAGGTCGAACCCATGTTGTACAATCAACCTGGCTGAGTCATCGGGAGGTGTTTCCTCCAAAAGTGGATGGAATCCCTTCTAAAATTAGAGTAGGTACCCACCCCCAAATATTCAACCTGGATCTGTTAATTCCGGGTCCGTACCCAAAGCATCTTCATGTCGACGATTTCAGCTTGTATCTTGCGAATATGGGTCTGGCTCAAAAGCAAGGAGCTTGACTGCTTAAGAAACCCACATGGTGTGTTAGGGGCGGGGGAGGGCCGTCCTGCTTTTCTGAAACAGCCTGTTCAATCCTGGTAAAGGCAAAGTTGCGTGTGTTTGTGGTTGGGTATGTGTTTGTGTTTGTGCTCGTGTTTGTGTGTGATTGTGTGTGCACGTTGTCGTTCCTGTTTGTTGTGTTTGTTGTGTCTGGGTACTTTGGTATGTTTGTGTTTGTGCATTTGAGTGTGTTTCTGTGTTTGTGTGAATTATGTGCGTGTGCGTGTGGCTTGTGTTTGTGTGCGGTGCTTGCGTGTCTCTGCATGTGCTGATTTGCGGTGTGCGTTCTCCGGTTGTTGTATTTTCGTGGTTGTGTCTCTGTGTGGTTCTGTGTGTTGGTGTGTGCTTGTGTGGTTGTTTGCTCGTGTGCTGTTTTGCGTGCAGATTGCGTGTTTGTGAGTGTGTGTGTGTGTGTGTGTGTGTGTGTGCGTGCGTGCGTGCGTGCGTGCGTGCGTGCGTGCGTGCGTGCGTGCGTGCGTGCGTGCGTGCGTGCGTGCGTGCGTGCGTGCGTGCGTGCGTGCGTGCGTGCGTGCGTGCGTGCGTGCGTGCGTGCGTGCGTGCGTGCCGTGCGTGCGTGCGTGCGTGCGTGCGTGCGTGCGTGCGTGCGTGCGTGCGTGCGTGCGTGCGTGCGTGCGTGCGTGCGTGCGTGCGTGCGTGCGTGCGTGCGTGCGTGCGTGCGTGCGTGCGTGCAGGCGTGCGGGCGGGCGGGCGTGCGGGCGTGCGGGCGTGCGTGCGTGCGTGCGTGCGTGCGTGCGTGCGTGCGTGCGTGCGTGCGTGCGTGCGTGCGTGCGTGCGTGCGTGCGTGCGTGCGTGCGTGCGTGCGTGCGTGCGTGCGTGCGTGCGTGCGTGCGTGCGTGCGTGCGTGCGAGCGTGCGTGCGTGCGTGCGTGCGAGCGTGCGTGCGTGCGTGCGTGCGTGCGTGCGTGCGTGCGTGCGTGCGTGCGTGCGTGCGTGCGTGCGTGCGTGCGTGCTGCGTGCGTGCGTGCGTGCGTGCGTGCGTGCGTGCGTGCGTGCGTGCGTGCGTGCGTGCGTGCGTGCGTGCGTGCGTGCGTGCGTGCGTGCGTGCGTGCGAGCGGGCGTGGGTGGGTGGGTGGGTGGGTGGGTGGGTGGTGTGGGTTGTGTGTGTGTGTGTGTGTGTGTGTGTGTGTGTGTGTGTGTGTGTGTGTGTGTGTGTGTGTGTGTGCGTGCGTGAGTGCGTGCGTGCGTGCGTGCGTGCGTGCGTGCGTGCGTGCGTGCGTGCGTGCGTGCGTGCGTGCGTGCGTGCGTGCGTGCGTGCGTGCGTGCGTGCGTGCGTGCGTGTGTGTGTGTGTGTGTGTGTGTGTGTGTGTGTGTGTGTGTGTGTGTGTGTGTGTGTGTGTGTGTGTGTGTGTGTGTGTGTGTGTGTGTGTGTGTGTGTGTGTGTGTGTGTGTGTGTGTGTGTGTGTGTGTGTGTGTGTGTGTGTGTGTGTGTGTGTGTGTGTGTGTGTGTGTGTGTGTGTGTGTGTGTGTGTGTGTGTGTGTGTGTGTGTGTGTGTGTGTTTGTCTGTCATACCATGATTGCACACGCGCACAATCATGTAGGAATCGCCCTGGAAGACGTCCGATTTCCCATTCAGGGCAACCGCACACATCGCCAAGGCAAAGATCAACACCTGCCAAAATCTCGGATGATAGGTCAGGAATTGGGCTGTTTGCGACGGTCAAAGCCTAGCAGTCAAGCAAAAAGTCACACATTCTCAGGATGGCTGGCTGACAAAGAAGCCCTGTCAACACACATGGCTGCATGGAGTTCTTGGTAGCTACTCTCCCCTCCAATCCTGGGTTGCATGGTTTCACACACCATGCATTTGCGTTTGCAGAATTGCCGGAAGACCTTGAGAATCTTGTCAAGCATCCCCATCCCTGACTGCCATGATTTTGAACACTTTCAGGATTGCTCCAGAAGCTCTTAGCTCCAGGCTAGAAATTTAGATTTCATATGGGGGGAGGGAGGGGAGGGGGAGGTCCCGCCTCACACCCAGCTTGGCGCCCAGATGGACCAGCACCAAACAGCTGAAGACCAGGAAAAGGAAGAACAGCCAGCCGATGGGCAGACCCCTTGGGCAACCCCGAAGTGGACACTTGACCGGGCCAGCGTTTGCGGGTGCGGGAGTCCTCTTGACACCTGCCAATTTCCCATCCATCGATGGTGGTCGAGGCCATAGGCATGGGTTTCCCAAAAAAAACACCCCGTTCCCTGATACCTACATGGATTTCTGAAGTGGGCGTGGAGAGACGAAAGCCTTTTGGAGGGCCCTGCACCCTCTGTGCTTCCTTTTTTGGGTGGTTTCGAGGCTTGGTGCAACCCTCCCGTGAGCCATCTGAAGATGCGAAAATGGACCGACTTGAGAAGTTACAGAGGGTGGAATCGGGCATCGTATATTCCACTCATGAACGTCACCCCCCCAAGATGTAATGTTCAAAATAACGAAGGGGCCACCAGCAATTGAGCCCCAAAAGGGTCCGTGGCTTGACACACCCCAGTGATCAGTTAATGGGAAGATGATTGGGCTGCGGACAGTGGAACACACGCGCACACCAACGACGTGGAAAGTCGGACAAGTGACTCTGATTTGGATGTTGGAACACCACTCAAATTAAATGGTGTCAACCTTACGTGTTGTTCCCCAAAATCCAGATAAGCCATGGTGAATTCGAAGCAAGCTGATTTCCAAGCCAAAACAACATCTCCAGGCAGGGCTCTTTAGGATGGAAACAGGAAGCGTCCCATATGGGCACCTCTCCTTTGCAGGTTGGGACTTGTTGCAGCCAGCACGAAGGGTCAAGGGCCACGCACAGCAAGTGGCGACCTTCAAATCGGGGGACTCCCCATTCTCCAGAACTACCTCAAGCTTTTTGCCCCGACCCTCAAACTAATATGTTTGAGTCTGGTTCATAGTTAGTGAACGTCACAATGCAACACATGTAAAAGAGATCCCAAATACATGGGTGCGAATTAAACAATCCAGATACACAACGCTGACGAGCCGCAACTCGCTCCCTCGCTCGCTCACTGATACAAGCATGCAAGCACTCACACGCTCGCTCGCTCTTTCGCTCACTCGTCAACTCACACACGCACACAAGCCTCGTGTGTAATGTTGACCCCGGATTAACAAACCCCTGTTTATTAATATGGGGGTTTTAATGGGGGTTTATCACTTCTGGAGGGGAACACCCCCATATCAATAAACAGGGGTTTATTGATCCGGGGTCAACATTACACCATTGCATAGAGCGTTTGTCCATGCACCATGGACCCGCTTCCCGAGTGGATTGGTCAAAGTCAAAACCTCGATTCACCGCTCGAATGATCTTCGCACAAAGTGGCTCAAGCCCAGGTATTGGGGAAGTGATAGGAAGATGAAGGATGGGCACGTCAAAATATGGATTTGGACCCAACAGTTGCTGGCATTCCTTTCCATTTCCCTCTAAACAACTTGCACAATACCGATACACGTTGTAAAAGTAGATGACACGATTCCCTCACTCACTTGCCCAAATGACCCAGAAATCAAAGATTAACCTCTTGGGGCCTTGACTAAACATGGAACATCGAGGGAAAACCAATGTCAAAAGATCGATTCGCTTTGGACACCTGAGTTATGGTCTTGCCATCTTTACTTAGCCCGTACCCCCCCCCCCCAGACTACCTCCATTTGCTGAAGTTCCCTGAAAATAAAAAATATCCCCCTGGTAGATTCCCTTTAAAACCAAGAGTCGAAAATAACACATATTTCCCCTAGTAGATTCCATTTGAAACCAAGAGGGGAAAATAACACATATTTATCATTAAGCAACTGCAAGCAAGGCTCCGTGCACCCGCGCAACATCAAGAACTCTTGGAACCACCTCCATACGCATCATACCACACAACTAGGTCCTCCAGAGAGGTTAGAATAAGGGTGCCAACTTGTTTCTGCAAATGGACTATGGAAGGTCCAAAGGTTCCATCCGAGACTTGGTTCCATCCCAACCCGAGCTTCCGGCTCTGAGCTCGGAACTGCACCAGGCCCTTCAGAAACCAAGGACTAAACCCAAGCCCCTGACCAATTTGGTCTCACACCCTTTTTGAGAAAAACCTGGGGATTTGAAGGGACACAAGTTAACCACCAATATTGGGGGGTTTGGTCTCACTTCCTGGATGGCCATGGTTGGTGTTTCCCCTTTTTGATACAGCGAAACGTGGGTCCACTATTTCGAGAGACTCCCGGTCTAACCTCTGGACTTGGACGATCTGCAAAGACTGTGCATTTGAGAAACACGGCAAACAACGAGGAAACCCAACAAGGCGGGCCAACTGAAACCCAAAGGAAACTCAACATGGACAACAAAGCCACCAGTCAAACAGGTGGAGCAGAAAAATGAAACCATGTCCCTTTCTTAACTTGCTGGCAGTTGGACCCCGTGGACTACTATCTACCGGTTCCGTCATCTACCGGTGCCATCTACGCCTTCCACGCCAAAAGATCCAAGGCGCAGAAAGGGGTCCCGCAGCTCCAGCCACGCCTGCCAGTGGGCCGCCGGCAGCCACCTGGGAGCCCTCCATGACCGTGACAACATGTGTATGCATATATATATATGTATATCATACACATCAATACATATTCATAGATACATATATACATATAGATATATACATGTGTAGGAATCAACAACGGGATATATTGTTCTGTATGTACGTATGTATGTATGTATGTATGTATGTATGTATGTATGTATGTATGTACGTACGTAGGTAGGTACGTACGTGCGTACGTACGTATGTATGTATGAATTCAATGCAATGCAATGCAATGCAATGCAGTGCAATGCAAATGCAATGCACTTCAAATGCAATGCACTGCAAATCAAATGCAATGCAAATGCAATGCAAATGCAATGCAAATGCAATGCAAATGCAATGCAAATGCAATGCAAATGCAATGCAAATGCAATGCAATGCAGTGCAGTGCAATGCAACGTAATGTAACTCAACGTAAAGCATGCATGAAGTTATATGACATACTGTGGGTGGACAACATTATGCACCACTTGAAACCATAAAACAACCACTGTTTGTTGGTATTTACAGGGGAATCATCATTCCAGGGTTTGTTAGGTGGTGCAGGATTTTGTCCATCCACAGTATGTAGGTAGGTACGCATGTATGTCCGAATGTATGTATGTATGTATGTATGTCCGTAGGGTTGGTATGTCTGTCCGTCTGTATGTCTGCCAATCTGTCTGTCTGTCTCTGTCTGTCTCTTCTCTGTCTCTGTCTCTGCCCTCTGCCTCTGTCTGTGTCTGTCTGCATGTCTGTCTGCATGTGTGCGTGCGTGCATGTATGCATGTATGTGTTCACGCACATCAGCAAACAGAAGCAAACCAACCCCTTTTCCTGTCCCCTAACAGTGGTCGTCGTCGTCACTCTCCCAAACCTGAAATAAGAGACCTTTCATTGATGAAGCCAAGGTCATCGGTAAGGCAGCTTTACTGTTCATGATGATACGCCACAACAATGTTCACGGTTCTTGCGGAGTGAGTGCTGGGGCGGACACCCAGAAGTCAACCCAAGTCAACGCCGTTTGCCCGTCAAACCTAAAGCCACGCACTGGTCAAACCAAGTGCGCCGACGGTAGGCTTCGCATCAAGGAGAACATGTCTCAGATGCCCAGTGGAAATTGAACAACAAAGGGCATCCTTTTTTGGGAGGGTTGAGTTTAAAGGGGAACCCTGCCCCAAAAAAAGATGAACAAAGGGCGCCAGTGGGAAACAGAGGGAACGTGTGGACGACCTTCAGTTTCTCAAGCTTCAAGAGCTGTCTCCCTCGCAATGCGAGTCGCATTTGTTTTTGCAGATAGTTGGGGGACAACTGCTACCTAAATTGATCCGACGGAAAGGGGCCCACTGGCAGAGGCAACAAGTCCGTCAGTGCCTCAAAGTCCAGGTGAAGAGCAGGTTCCTTGCCGAAAGGGGAGAGTCGTCCGAGTCAACCATTGGTTACCCATCCCACCAACACATGCAGGTCTCAACTATGAAAAAAACAATCTCACCTATGATACAATAATGTGCTTTGACTTTCAGCGTATGACTGCTCTGCAAGCAAACGTGCCCTCTTGAAATAATATTGTGGACACGCAACAAACACTGCATATGTAGAGGAATCTCTTTTGGCAGGATAATTTCTTGGGCCCCACTGTTGCATCATGGCGACAATATTGCAAGTGACCAATAGTATTGCAGGTGGTTATGGACCAACATATGCCCAATCCCACTGAACAAACCCACAGCCTCTTCTCGTATCTTTATTTGTCGCTAGCCGCCTTGAGGGCTGTCTCAGGGCTGTCCTTCGGGGTGGCTCCATGTAGACAAACCTAAATGGCCATGGGTCAATATCCAAATCGTACCCCCAGTGAACATCCCAATCCCCACTAAAATAGGGTCTAAAATGGGTGGTGCACCTACCCCCAAAACGGCACCATTGGTTTTGGTTTTGATCCACAGCCAAATCAGTTTGCCGAGAAAAGATGCGGAATCCTCAAAGCGCGCTGGTCATCACTAAGCTCCATGGCTCTACTATACGCTGGGAAGATTCTGACAATTCTTGGGAGAGTTGCGTTTGGACATCATGCACCACACACCACACACCACACACGCACACACCCACACACCCCACACACCCCACACACCACACACACCACACACACACACACCAAACGCACCACACACACACACACCACACGCATGACACACACACACACACGACACACACACACACACACACGACGCACACACACACACACCACACACACCACACACACACACACCACACACACCACACACACTACACGCACACACATAACACACCACACACACCACACACACCACACACACCACACACACAACAAACACACACACACACACACCACACACCACACACACCACACACCACACACACCACACACCACACACCACACACCACACACCCTAATGTCTGTCCGGGTAGTGGCAGGGTGAGTGACAATACGCTCTGATCCTGGTAACAGTGGGTGCGAGAAGTGATGCCCCATGCAACCTTCATGAACACAACTAAATGGATGCACTTGACTGGCTAATTGCTTGCTTGCTTGCTTGTTTGCTTGCTTGATTGATTGATTGATTGATTGATTGATTGATTGATTGATTGATTGATTGACTGACTCACTGACTCACTGACTCACTGACTCACTGACTCACTGACTAACTGACTGACTGTTTGATTGACTAATTGATTGATTGATTGATTGATTGACTGACTGACTGACTGATTGATTGATGGATTGATGGATTGAGGGATTGATGGATTGATGGATTGATGGATTGATTGCTTGACTGCTTGACTGCTTGATTGCTTGATTGCTTGATTGCTTGATTGATTGATTGATTGATTTATGGATTGACGGATTGGCGGATTGATGGATTATTGATGGACTGACGGATTGACGGATTGATGGATTGATGGATTGATGGATTGATGGATTAATGGATTGATGGATTGAAGGATTGATGGATTGATGTATGGATTGATTGATTGAGTGATTGACTGACTGACTGATTGACTGATTGACCAATTAATCGATTAACTGATTGATTGAATGATGGATTGATGGATTGACGGATTGAGGGATTGATGGATTGATGCTTGGATTGATGGTTGGATTGATTGATAGATTGATTGATTGACTGACTGAATGATTGATTGATTGACTGACTGACTGACTGACTGATTGATTGATTGATTGATTGATTGATTGATTGATTGATTGATTGATTGATTGATTCATTCATTCATTGATTGATTGATTGATTGTTTGGTTGATTGATTCGTTGACTGATCGACTGATTGATTGGCTGGTTGATCGATTGATCGATTGATCAATTCATTGAGATATATATTGATTGATTGCTCGACTGATTGTTTGACTGACTGACTGACTGACTGGCTGGCTGGCTGGCTGGCTGACTGTTTGTTTGATTGATTCCATTTGATTGATTGATTGATTGATTGATTTACTTAATTTATCGATTGGTTAATTGAGTGATGGACGGATATATGGATGTATGTATGTATGGATGGATGGATGGATGGATGGATGGATAGATTGGTGGCTTGCTTGCTTGCTTGACCGATTGCACTGCTTGCTTGATTGATTACTCGTTTGGCTGGTTGCTTGATTGGTTGGTGGATGGCTGGATGTCCAACTGACCGCCTGGCTGCCTTCCTGACCAATTGGTTGCTTACTTGGTTGATCAGGTGTCTGACTCACGGACAGCCGTTCGGCCTGATGGACGGAAAAAGGCAGGCAAGCAAGCAAGCAAGCAAGCAAGCAAGCAAGCAAGCAAGCAAGCAAGCAAGCAAGCAAGCAAGCAAGCAAGCAAGCAAGCAAGCAAGCAAGCAAGCAAGCAAGCAAGCAAGCAAGCAAGCAAGCAAGCAAGCAAGCAAGCAAGCAAGCAAGCAAGCAAGCAAGCAAGCAAGCAAGCAAGCAAGCAAGCAGACAGTCATGCAGACAAACGGGGAGCTGGATAGACAAGCGACCAAGCAGACAGACAGACAAACAAACAAACAAACAAACAAACAAACAATCAAACAATCAAACAATCAAACAAAGAAACAAAGAAACAGGCAGAGAAACAAAGAACCAGCCAACAAAGGGAGTGACTCAGTGACTCGCTGACTCCCTGATTTGGCTTATTGCTTGATGGACCCGTCCTGGCCGCCGGCACGAAGCTCAACACCGCCGCGCCCAGGGTGGTGATGGTTCGCCCGAAGGGCACCGTGCCGTGCAAGGTGCCCCGCGCGCTACGTGCCAACCACACCAAAACCATCAGCCCCTCGGAGGTCGGAGGTCGGGCCGAGGAGGTCAGCTTGGCGGTGAGTCAAAAGTAGGGTAACCCCAACATGGGTTGGCCTGGTAAATGGAGGACTAACACCTGCGGTCCGATTCCCGGTGTAATTTTGACTCATACCCATACGAAGGGCTGAAAAACGCATGAGGAAATGGGGTGCGTTCCTCGCTTCGCAGCCCAAAACGAGTCTCATTCTGGTGCATGGTGATCCTTGAGATTTCAACCCCTCTCTTCAGAGAACAAACACGTTTGGGTCGGTTCGTGGATAGTGCTGAAATGAAAACATCGCGCGTCTGCCACATCCGGTTGACCATGCTGCTTCCGGAAAGGACATGGGAACGTTAGCTGACTCCCAAATTGAAGACAAGTAGACATGTTGTCTGAACCTCAAATTTTGAGTTTCGATACAATGATACATGGTATTCAATGAGTCTGCCCCAAAACATGTAAAACATACAAACGGATACAAATGGTGGATATCCACAACCATTCATGGCTGGGACTCTCCCCTGACTTCCGCTTACCTGGATTTGATTCTGTCCGAATTTGAGCCGATGTCACGCCAGTGTACCCCAAATGGCTTCAAGCTGTGGCTCAGTGGAAATAAATAAGAACAGCCAGGTCCTCCAGTAGAGAGGAGTTGGAATAAGGGAACTGGTTTTTTTCAGTAGTTTATTTTAGTAGGGGAACCCTCCCAACCAAAAAAGGGGTGAGAAAGGGCACTACTGGGGGACCTAGACAGCCCAACCGGCTGTGCATGCCCTTTTGAAACAACCCCATCAATGGTGCCACCAAAAAAAAATGCGTCCATGCAACCCATTTGGAGACACTTCTACAGCTGTTGGTGGGCAAGTTTGGCTGTTGGGTAGATGTGTCAGACGCGGTTTCCCAATCCCAAATCTGTGGTTTTCCTTCTGTTGACCTTGAAAACAACCCCAAGCAGGGTGCCAACTCTGAACGAACACAATATCAGTATGTGTCAGAATCGGGGGCCACCCACCCACCCACCCACCCACCCACCCACCCACCCACCCACCCACCCACCCACCCACCCACCCCCGACCCCAGTAGCAATGCAAAAACAAGGGCGGCCGTCCTTTGCTAGGTGATTTTAAAAGGGTTTCCTTCCTCCCAAAAAAAAAACAAAGGGGGGCCAACCTGAAAACCGAAAGGCAACCAGGTCAACAACAGGCTTGGGGCTCGAAAAACCAACGGGTCCCCAACACAGAAGCCCACTAAGCAAGCAGAACAACGAAAGACAAATCCACCCCACCCAAAAAAATGGCGCCAAAAAAAACGGGTCGTCCTGTTTTGGCATCCTTCCCTTTCAAACCGTACCCTACAACACGAGGGTCCCCGCTCCCCGCGGCGCCGGTCGCCCGGGGCGCGATGAAGAGCAGCGAGCCCAGCCCCCCGAGCCCCGCGTGGAAGGCCACGGACTCCCTCAGCGGGCGCCAGGCGAAGACCAGCACCGCGCCGCCCAGGAGGTACCCAAAGACTGAGACGTCGAAGTGCCTAAGTCCACTTCCGCCTAAACGCCTGAAACTTGCTGGTTTATGTGTAATCCCCTGAAAGACTGAGACGTCGAAGTGCCTACGTCCGTCCGCCCGAATCCCCGCCGAAAAACGGCCAGAAACTTGGTTGTCATTGAACCATTTCGCACTTCTAGGTTGATTCCTTCTGCGGTTAATTCTCTGCTTGAAGCCAGGACCCCTATGAAGCCAGGCCCTTCGTTGCTTGCTGCTGTGAATATGTCGTGTTTCTTGGGCTCGATGTCTCAAACTCGCATACGCGGCCGAGAGTCTGGCTTGTCAGGTACAAAGGTCAGGTTACAAGTTGGTACCCGCAGGTACCCGGAAAATATACGGGCCAAACAAATCGACTAGGGAGTTGGCATGCTTTCAAAGCAAATAAGTGATGATTCTAGTAAGCCATGACGCTGCCACTACGGAATCCCCTTAGGCAAGCTCGGCTTACCCCAAAAAGGTGGTTGGCTTCTTGCCCATTTCGCTGAGGTTCACCCCTTTCCCTCCGGGAAAGTCTCAAGGCAGCTGTTGGGTCTGGCGCCTCTCTGACTCAAGGGGCCACTTTGCACCGGGGTGCCAGTCCCACTTGGCCCGCAGCGTCGCAATCTTCGGAGGCAGCTGTGTGATGCTGACACAACCGCCTCACAGGCGCCAGACGACATGACGCGCTTCTCACAGGAGTGCGTGTCCCCGGGCGCGGCAAGCCAGCCGAATATTCTCTACTCCAAATACTCACTTGTTTCAGGGTATCATGTCGACCCTCTACTAAAACAGGCATCGGTATTCACCTTGAAAAACCGATGCGTTTTCCAAAAAAATATCGACTAAAAACGCGGGTCTTTGGAGGTTACGGGGGTAAAGGGTCGCGGTTGCAAACAAAAACGCCCGCCACCACCACCATCGCCTGCAGGTGGCAGCAGAACTGCCTGATCCTCGGACCAGGGCCGTGCACGGACGGAGCAGCCCTTGCGGCAGTCCTGCGTGCTGGGCGCCGGCGGATGAATCATTTTTTGACCCATGTCTCGGGCAGCAGAAGATGCTGCAATTTCCTTGCCCCCTGTTTTTTGGGTGCCCCATATGTGGCCATGTGTCAAAATCCCGGTTATCCCCATTAACCCATGATTGAATGTCTAAGGTATTCAAGGTTGACTGTTGCTGGCTTAATGGACTAGGCAAGGTGAAAGATCTTCAATATCTCGCGAAGTTCCCGGCTGGTTGACACCAATGTGGCCATGGGTCAAAATCCAAATCGTACCCCCAGTGAACATCCCAATCCAACCACTATTTTTTTCGAAAATGGGTGGTGAATTCACCTACCCCGAAATGGTACCATAGGTTTTGACCCACAACCATGTCTCGAAATCACGCATGCTTTCCCGTGACGACTCAAGCATGGAGCTCTTGTTGATGTCTTTCACGTGTTCGAAACCGCTGTCATGTGTTCATGTGTCTTTTCCTGTGCTTGGATAATTGACAGAAATAGTAAGTATGTGACAGTGATTGCCATGGATATATGCGAACCAAACCCACTTTTATCCAGGTATATCTACTCGCATTGCACACCAATTGCCCTCTCAAGGCCGTGTTGTTCGTTCTGGCCAGCTATTCAGATCAAATAGCACCAGGATCCAGGTAGGCGATCCGGATGGGCAAACATGCGGCTTGAACCAGGGAATAAATGCAAAGAATTACGCGCACCAAAGGCGCCATGGACACAAACAAATCGCAGGTAGAACGCACTCGTGGCTGGCCCGCTTCAGAACTTGTTTTGCGGTATGTAAATCAGGGTGCACTATGCATCATGATTGAGCAACGCTGTTGCCTGCGTGTGGGCAAGGCTTGATTTGAACCATCATCGTCTTTGAAACGATTTCCAGACTCAAAAGGAGCCCCAAATGATTCTCGACTAGCATCGGCGGATATTTGGGTGGAAAACAACTAGCAATTCGCAAAACGAAAGCTGGGTGCTGTTGAGGGTGGCACCCACCAATTCCCCCCCCCTAAGTTTCAGAAGCACTCGCCCCTATCTGTGCGGGACAAGCCCTTTCTGCACAGGTTCCTTTTCCCCCAACATGAGCCCATTTGGACATTGTTCATGTGCATCCCGCCCGATGGCCCCAGTACTGGGCCCCTAACCCAGTCTTTCCTCGGTTGCTTTCTGCTCCCCTGCTCAAAGTTTCACTTTTAGTGGTTTAATGGAAAACCCATTAGTTGGCAGAAAGTTAAAGTCCCAACATCCAAGCAAAATGCACCAAAGTTTCAGCGGCGTCCTTGCACAGTGACGGCAGCAGCGCAGAGAGCCAGGGATGGATCCTGCAAAACCATCGCGGGCCCCTGTCTTCCTTCACGCTCACCTCGGCATCTCGGTGGTATTCGGCGTCTGCCGAACTGGAAAAGCTGGTGCCATGATTTGTACTTTGTGAGAATACACGTGATGACCAACTGTTTGTATGTAACTGCTGATGGTAGATATTTATATATAGTATGCTCCGCGGCCCACGTGCGCCGTCATGCACCAATCCGCCCGGCGCCCGTTCAGTTTCGCGCCGTTTGTTTCTGTCAGCAGCTTCCCTTGGGGATGTCTTCACTTGACCACTGCAGGGCAGCCTGCACCCCGGCAGGGCAGTCTGGCATCCCACCTGCTCCCACCCCCCCGCAACCCCCTGGCGTCGCGGCGCAGTCCCACCCCTGCACTCCAAGCGTACGCTACCCCGCCCCAGCCCCCCCCCCCCCTACGTGACGACGCTCAAAACACCTAGGCGGGTCGTTGTTGACCGACGGCGAACGTCTACTGAACGTCTATTGTAAGGTGCACCTGCGCCAAGTTATGTTGAAGCTGCTGGTGGAACGAGAGAAAATAATATCCTGTTGATGGACAACCCCCAGGTACCAAATAGGAACCGTTGCGGGCTGCTGTGTGATTACACAACCAACCCACCACCCGAGCTATCTCAGGCGGGCTCTGTGGTTTTGACCAGAACCTGCTTTTTGGGCCCGTTAGCCACCGTAGAATGAAGGTCAATGCACATGCTTCTGGGTTGTAAAAGAAAGGTCCTCCTAACTCAGTCGGATCGCGAGCTTGTCCATAGAAGTTACCTTTTCGCCTGCGTCAGCTCCGGAAACCTGATCAGCACCAATGTTGGGGTTCAAAAGAGACATGCAAACTTAGGTGTGCGCGTGTCTCTGTGCCTACGTTTCTGTGTGTGTGTGTGTGTGGGAGGAAGGGAGGAAGGGAGGGAGGAAGGAAGAAAGGAAGAGGGGGGGTACGTGTGTGTCTATGCTTGCGTGGTGTATGGTGTCATGTCGAACGCTTCGAAGAAAGCAGTAAACAACTTTGCATCCAAGTGCCAAGGTTCATGAAAACTACATGTATATAATTCATCTCAGCTGTTTCTCTAGGTTAGTCATAGTCAAGAGCCGAGGTAGAGCCCAGCTTTGGTTTCATGCCGCGGACATTGGCACATCGGACGGGCACGAAGACTCCACAGAGCAAGTCCAACGAGGCGGTGATTTATGTCTAGCTCCTGCAGTGTCAGCAAAAGGCAAACGCCAAAAGGGCAAGCCAATGCACGAGTTGTGTGTGTGTGTGTTGCTTGTTTTATATTGTTTGTTGTTCGTTCTTTGATATTTGTTGTTGTTGTTGGTGTTGTTGTTGTTGTTGTTGTTGTTGTTGTTGTTGTTGTTGTTGTTGTTGTTGTGGTTGTGGTTGTGGTTGTGGTTGTGCTTGTTGTTGTGGTTGTGCTTGTTGTTGTTGTTGTTGTTGTTGTTGTTGTTGTTGTTGTTGTTGCTGCTGCTGCTGCTGCTGCTGCTGCTGCTGCTGTTGCTATTGTTGTGTTGATGCTGTTTAACACAACCACAAACAACAATGACAAAGCAAGTACCCATACATCGGTTCTATGAGGTAAAACAACAAGCAACAACGTTATGCTCACTCTGAGCTGGTGTCTCTTTCCTGTTTCTATCAAGTGCATCGGCAAACTTCATGTGTTGCAGCCCTCACAGTACGCGTTTGTCAGGAAACACTCTGACACAGGCTTTGGGATGCCTTTTGTGACAACTAAGCTGGTCAAGGGAAGCAATGACCCCTCCATGGAGGGCTAGAACGTTTGCATGCACGCGCCGGAACTTCCAACTACCGACGGTTCCTTTGGTGCTTGCCAAGCAAGTGAAACAAAGTACGCCGCAAGGTCACTCATACAGATTGAGCGCGTGGACAAAAGGGCGTAAGACTGGCATCTCTAGAAAACGGTTTGGATGCGCTTTTTGTGGATTTTACCTGACCTGTTCTTCCCCCTGTTAGTCCTTTCTTACCACTCTTTTAGTACTCTTTTACTATTCCACAGGCGAAGATCCGCAAAAAACCCGCCTCCAAGCAGTTTCCTAGAGCATCTCAAACAGGTCCCATCAGGCTTCCTTTTCGGCTTCCAGAAACTGATCTTCACCCGGCCTGGAGGTGAGGTGACCCCAGCCACCCGAACCGAGAGGAGGGCACCTGAGGATGGCATGCCCCGGCGCTTGGGGGAGGTTTTTTTTGAGGGAAGTCCGCTGGCAACGAGAAGCTCAGGGACACGGCTAGGATGGGGCAAAGACTTGGGAAGCTCTGCCATCAGAGGAACTCCAATTCAAATGTCGACCAAGACCTCTGGTCGAATGAACAAACTCCCTCCAGTTTTGCAACCCAGAGGTCCCCGAACCTCCGGAATTCCCCAAACACCGACACTTGGTCAACATTCAAGCCTAAACCTTGGATTTATATCTTTTCTTTGCTCATCATTTAGTCAAGGGCAAAGATGTAAGATGGTCCCAAACGTTCAACCAGGACATGGGAGCCAAGCTCGCCAAGCTGGCGAAATCTGTCCGAGGGCCAGTCACCAAAGCTCTGCCAATATAGCGTTTCCTAAGGAAGCAACACTTCAAGCTAAACGCCGCGGGCAAAAGCGTGCAAGCTTCTCACGTGCATTTTGGTGGTCTGGGTGCCCTCTGGAAAATTGTTTGTCCTCATGGACCCCACGATGAGGGGGCACTTGCCCTGAGCGACCTGGTTCTTTGCGTCCACTCGCTTCCATTGGTCGGAAAAAGTCCAGACTTTGACTAAGTTTCCCGCTGAAATGATCTTCCAAAAAACATGAAAGTCCAAAAGCCGTTTGACTCTTGATTTTGCCTTTCTCACCCGTGCCTGCCCATCCTGCGCTCGGGGCTGCAAGACCAGGACCACCTGAGCAGGAAAGCGACTGAGCCAACTCCTCAGTTTGTACCAAACACTCTCCTGTGCCCAGTTTCAGAAAACCAGTGCCTTGCGATCATACTGTGGATGAAGACAACTTCGCACCAATCCGGATGGATGAAGTCTATATGAATATCATGAACAAGGACATGTCAATGTTTTGTTTTGTTTTGGAAATACTGTGGCGCAGGGAATGTGTCCATCCATGGGATGAATTCTTGCTGAAGCCCAATGTGCCGAGTGGTTTCAGCAGGTAACCAACCCCATTTCGCAGGTTTGCACAAACAACCCGCGGAACCCATCTTTTTCTGCCAGTTCTCACGCCCCAAACCTGAAGATTCCTTCTGCCCCAAAGGACTGTTGAAGGCCTCGATGTTTTTTTTTTTGTTTATCGATTTGTTTCTGGATTTTCGTTTGGCATATCTGGTGGAGTATTCCAGGGTGCTCCCCACTCAAGAGTTCCCTCGACGTGACAGCCCTGAACTTAAGTAGTCTATCAGTCTATCACCCATGGGCACCCTTGCACATTTGAGTTGCTTAAACTCATCATACGGGTCTTCCTCTTTTCTGTGGCACCTCAAACATGCACAGCTTTACTGATGGTTTTCCGTGTTCCTTGTGTTTTCCTTTGAAACACCCACCAAAACGGGGGCTCCCTCAAACCCCGCCCCCCCCCACCACCACCCCAAACCGCCCCACCCAAGCTGCCCCAGCCCACGACCGGCCGCTGCCTGCATCACCGGCCAGGCGATGAGTGGCGGGCGCTGGCCCGAGCACAGACCAGCCGGCAGCGAGGGGCCTGGGCTCACCCCACCCCACTCCACCCCACCCCCACACCACCCCCCCACCCCACCCCACCCCACCCCACCCCAACGCCCACTCCACCCCACCCCACCCCACCCCACCATTCGACCCCCCCACCCCACCCCAGCCCACCACCCTAACAACTTCGCCATGGCTCTGATGGGGAGCACCTCCTCTCGCTCGCCATTGGCACCATACCTAAGTTGCAACCGCTGGAACTGATGGGAGAGGCACAAGGCAACCATTGGCTAGGTTCTCCAGTAGAGAGGATAGAATAAGGGTCCCCGATTGCTTTTTTCTGTAGTAGGGGAACCCTCCCCAAATAAAAAAGGGTAAAAGGGCACAACTGCGGGACCTAGACGATATTGTTCTTTTTTGTGTTGATCTGTTCAACGGCAATGCTCCAATCTCCGCAAGCATGGTGAAGGATTCTTTCGCGCAACATGCCAAGGGGCAAAGACATGTTTGTATAGAATCACTTCATTTGGTGGACAAAGACCTTCACAAGCTTCCGCCTTGCCGGGATGCAGCTCCACTTGATCAGCTCTGCACAGCCCAGCCAGCGCCAGGCTCAGCAACACTCGCGCAGCCATGACAGCGGGTTTTCCCGTGTTGCACAGGAATCGC